ACGTACAAGAAGTGGTGTTCAGAGGAGTAATTAGGTGAAAGGAATAGGCTAGTAGTAGAATCGGCAACGTGAAAGCCTACTATAAGGGTAAAGCGATGGGCTACTACAAGGTTAAAGCGCTCCAATGGTAAATTCATTCAAATATGCGCGCGCGGGAAAATTATTTGAACTGCAGAACCTTCCGCCAAATAAACGCGTTCGTAGATTTTGTGCGTTCGGGACCTCGACACCACCGTTGCACACGCCATGGACACAATAGAGCTGCATGAGCTCTTTCGGCTACTTCGTGTGCACGCCATCAGCTACGATGGCGTACAAGCCATTCGTGCAGGCCATCTGTAACGATACATCGTGGTTGTTTTCAATATTGCACAGAATTAGCAAAAGCGCCTCACCCCACTGGTTCTTTCTGAATGGTTAACATGCAACTCTTGGTCCTGCTCGTGCGCAAACGTCCTACCATCGAAGAGCTGCGCCAGCTCTCCAGGTATGTTTTCGGGGGTCACTTCCTTGTCCTTTAACGAACTGGTGGCTCAGAAAGAAACCTAGCACGTTGAATGTACTTCAGTAATAGGTGTATTGCAAGTTACCTGAAAAAAGCCTTCCTTTTCATTACAAATCCCCATCCATACAGCGATTTCATAACGTCCTCTGCAACAAGACCCTATAGTGCCGTTCAGCTTTCTATGTTCGAAAATGAGACTTACCATCGTATTCTGAATTAGCTTTCGTCATCATTTCCTCATAAACCTGCCGTGGAACACGTCCTGTGTATAATAGGTTACCCTTCTTGAACTTTCTGGAAAGTGAGATGATTGCAGAACATAAATGTAAGCTGTTATGAGAACCTCATATCCTACCCTTTTGGCTTTATCCTCTCCCGCTTCATTGGAGGTGCAAACGTGGTCAATGGTGCATGAGTCGCTAACGAACTCCTTACTAATCACTTCAAGAAAAAGATCGTTATATTATATTTCATTTAAAAAATAAGTTGCGAACCTATGTGGAACTTTTATTGTTTTCCAGGCACTCATTTTCTTGCAGCCCTGCATTGGTAGACGACGTAGTTTTGGTTCTTTCGAACCAATGCGAACACAAATGTAAGAGGTGAAACTTGAGTTTTATGAGTTAACACTTCCCTTCTGTCCCTTGAACGTTGACGGTCCAGGTTGAGACGCATCAGCGCTGAAATTGACTTCACCGACTGTTTGGGTCGGCATATTATTAGAATACTATAAAGGGTTTGATTAGGGCCGCTATTGTTTGGAGTACTACAAGAGGCTTGCTGAGGAACCTTATAATTTATAACATTCGAAAGAGCTTGCCGAGGAGCGTCATTATTTGGAATACTATAAAGTTGAGGGCTATCAGTTAGATTACTGTGGAGGGCCTGTTGAGGGCCGTAAGCGCAGTAGTACGGAATCATACTGGAAGCAAAACACAAAACGTGAACGTGCGGAAGTAGCAATACTGATACCAGAATTTGTATATGACCCCAAAGGCAGGTCATGCCCACATCTCAACCTGAACACTTCTATTTCGTGAAAAAAGTGATAACGCACTCGTTCTCTCAGGGCATATTCAACGAGTAATGACATTGCAACTTCTATTCTGTGAGGAAGCCGTAACTTACTGCGTTCCATGGGGGCATACGAAAAGAGTAATAGCTGCATCGCACCTTTCCCAGTTCCCTATGGCACAAGTTTGTGATGAATGTCACTGTGTCACTCGTATAAAAGGCAGTGAACATATAGTTCTTACATAAAGTAAGGTAAAACTGAATACGGAATAGTATGAATCATTGTACCTTCATATATTCCTTACTCAGATATAGGAAGTAAATACAGTTTACGTACAGCATAATTTAAAAAAAACAACTAGCTGTGAGCGAACAGAAAGGAAAAATGAGATATGATCCCGTATTGGTCATGAAACTATATTCTTCCAGCATATTAATAGCACTTACCTGCGATGGAGTCAAGATAGTAGCTGAATACAGGACTTAATCGAATACAAAGGACAGTACAGTAAATAGTAGCCGAATAAAGTAGATAGCAGAATATAAAAGGTAGTTCAGAAAAAATGCGAACCTAATACAGATAATAGCCGAATACAGATGGTAGTCCATTAAGGTAGTAACCGAGTACAGCGTCGAACACAAATGGTAGTCCCATGAATACACTTGACGAATACAAAAAGTAGTCTAATGAATATAACAGCTGAATACAAAATAAAGTAGCCAAAATAAATGAGACAGTCGAATGCAATGGTTCGTCCATCGAATATCGTTAGCTTGATAACGCGGATAAGTCATGGGACAGCGAAGAAATAAGAAACAATTACACCTCATAGTAAACCTAATGCTAGCAATGTTATACTATAATATAATCGGGACGCTTAGAATAAAGTTAACATAACACATGTTGTGAAGAAAAATGAAATGAAAATCATGCTTGAAGTTTCGAAACACCGCACGATAAACTGAATGTCAATAAAGTAAATGATGGAAATAAATATTATGATAAACAAATGTTTTTCAAAAAGAGGAAACGATAAAACACTTACCACACTATCAGCCGGTCATACATATGTACTGCAAATTACTGTGAAGTGGTTAGTATCAGGCTCTAGAACGGCCATGATACTTCCACTCCATTGTAACTTAGCAGAATCCATTTCGAAAAGGGGTCGAAAATCTCGAGAAGCAGAAAACGGGCGAAAAAATAATTAAATATGCAGTAGAAATAGACAGAATGCAGGTAGGTCGGCGTCTAATTATAGCGGCGTCATCGATCGGGCATGTCTCGGCTTGATGGGCAGTGGGTAGCCTGACTAGGCAAAATAAATAAGAAAGTCGAATGCAATAGATCGTCCATCGAATATCGTTAGCTTAATGATGACGCAGTTAGATAAGTTATAGGACAGCGAAAAAATAAGAAACAATTGCACTTTATAGTAGACCTAATGCTAGCAATGCTATACTATAATCGTTGAGTACTTGGAGGGATTTACACGTTTCTGCAGGGTATGCTCCTGTATGGTCTTTTCTACTGTAGAGCTCTGTCAGATTTTTATTTCAGAGGCTGATGTATACAAATCAAATACCTCTCCAGTCCATCTAGTTGACGAAATTTTTTGTAGTTTGGGCTGTGTATGGTCATGAAGAGTACTCCTTGAAATTGGACTGTGTGTAGCCATGAACACGTGATTCGAAAGAACAGCGCTTTTGGGCAGTTGTAGGCATATACACGTTTCTGCAGGGATGCAGTTGTGTGGTCTTGGCTACTGAAGAGTTCTTCCAGATTTTCATTCCAGAGGCTGATGTATCCAGCCAAATACCTCTCCAGTCCATGTAGTTGACGAAATTTTGTTTAGTTTGGGCT